CCACGACGACCCGACGTCCGGACACCTCGGTTACAGCCGGACACTGGCCCGTATTCGTGAAAAGTATTACTGGCCCAAGCTCCCTAAAACGGTCCACCTATACACACGATCATGCCATGAATGCCAGCGACGAAAGAAACCTCCAACGAGGCCGGCCGGACTCCTGCAGTCAATTCCTCCGCCAACGGCACCCTTCCAACAGATCGGAATGGATCTACTTGGCCCTTTTCCACCGTCGACGTCGGGAAATCGCTGGATCATCGTCGCCACAGATTACCTCACGCGGTACGCCGAAACGAAAGCCCTTCCTTCCGGAACTGCTGTGGAAGTTGCCAAGTTTTTCATTGAATCCATCGTCCTCCGGCACGGCGCTCCCGAAGTCCTGATCTCAGACCGTGGATCCTCGTTCATGGCCCAGCTGACACAAGAAGTCCTTCGTCTCAGCCACACCAGCCATCGTCGCACCACGGCGTACCACCCTCAGACCAACGGACTGACGGAAAGACTCAACAAGACCATCGCCGACATGATTTCCATGTACGTCGACGTGGAGCACAAGACATGGGACGAGGTGTTGCCGTACGTCACCTTTGCCTACAATACGGCCGTGCAAGAAACCACCGGGGTTACACCCTTTCAACTGGTTCATGGTCGCAAAGTGACGACAATGCTGGACGCAATGTTACCCCACGAACCGGCTGCCGACGGAAGCGACGACGCCCAGGTGGTTTCCCAACGGGCAGAAGAAGTCCGTCAGCTCGCCAGAGTCCGGATTCAAACCCAACAACGTATCGACACTGGCCGCTACAACCTTCGTCGCCGGGACGTCCACTTCCAGCCGGGAGACAAGGTGTGGGTCTGGACACCGATCCGCCGCCGTGGTCTCAGCGAGAAACTCCTGAAGCGCTACTTTGGACCCTACAAAGTGCTTCGTCGACTCGGGGATCTGAACTACGAGGTGATGCCCGATGGAACACGGACTTCATCACGCCGCCCTCCAAGACCAGAAGTCGTCCACGTCGTGCGCATGAAGCCGTACTACGCTCGATAGGACTGTGTACCTTATGTGTTCCAAATGACTCTTTAGTTTACCGTTATTTCTGTTTGCTATGTTTTTGGTTTGTGCTGCATCGGGACGATGCGCTTTTAAAGGGGGGGATAATGCCGCGCGCAGACTTGCAGAAGGTTCTCGTTTATTCTTGCTGACATAACTTCTATCGTTTCTGTTGTTCTAGAAAGTGCGTGTTCATTCTCGCCCCAAGCGCACTACGCTCGAACCTTCGCCGCCGAATCTTCGAGATAGTGACTCATTCTAGATAAGAGGCCGCCCGCGATCTTGTCGAGTCAGTTTCGCCCCAGCGTTCGACTCTGCTGCTACGCCGACTTCGACGCCCGCGACGCCCTGTTATTATCTTTTGTTCCCTTTTATTTTTGGCACAAGTTCGCCACATTAAACGTTTCTTAAACGTTTAATTGGGATTGGCTGCAACATTACGAACGAGTTGCCCGCCATAACGCATGGACACCGGAGCAGTGCCTCCAGAATGTCTACTTCTCTCTGGAAGGCACGGCACGCACGTGGTTCGAGAACCACGAAGCGTCCATTGCGTCGTGGGAAGAATTCCAGGCCGAGCTGCGACGGACCTTTGCCAGCCAGCACCGACGGCAGCGTGCCGAAGAACTCCTGCGAGCGAGAACCCAGGGGTCGACCGAGAGCGTCACAAGCTTTGTCGAAGACGTTCTTCACCTCATGAATCGCGCCGACCCAACCGCTCCCGAAGAGAAAAAGCTGCGGGTCTTGATGCGCGGTGTGAAGGAAAACATCTTCGGTGGCCTTGTGCGGAGCCCGCCGACAACCGTCGAAGCTTTCATCGCCGAAGCAACCAACATCGAGCGCGCGCTTCAGGCACGTGCTTCCCACTACCAGCGACATCCAGGCGTCGCTGCACCCACACTACTTAACGGCGAAAACACTCTGGGTACACCGGACATCCGGGAAATTATCCGAGAGGTTGTCCGGGAGGAACTGCGAAGGTTGCTGCCAACTACCAGCCGTCCGCCAACCCTTTCCATCGCCGAGGCTGTCCGAGAAGAAGTGCATCGGGCGCTCCAACCACGCGCAAGGCTGAGAAAGAATGCCTTGCGGTCGTCTGGGCAATAACGAAGTTTCGTCCGTACTTGTACGGGAGCCCGTTTCGTGTAGTCACGGACCACCACTCGCTCTGCTGGCTTGCGAACCTGAAGGACCCGTCAGGACGCCTCGCTCGATGGAGTCTTCGACTACAAGAGTTCAACATGACAGTGGTCTATAAGTCAGGCCGCAAGCACAGCGACGCCGACTGCCTGTCCAGAGCCCCCGTTGAAACCCCTTCCGGCTGCAGCGACGACAATGACGACGAGTGCTTCCTACGCCGCAGTGGCCCGACGGCCACCGCCTCCTCCTCGCGCCTATGTCGCGCCGCCCCGACGCCAGTCTCCTGCGCCGCAGCACGACCGACGCCGCGACGACCAGCCCCAGTACGCCAGCCAGGAGCCCCGTGTACCCCGCACCTCCACCAAAATGTCACGGTTGGTGACCAAAAGAAAACAGGAAATAAACAGGGAGAAATAAACGTTTAATGTGGCGAACTTGTGCCGAAAATAAAGAAGGAAACAGAAGAAAGCAGAGCGTCGCGGGCGTCGAAGTCGGCGTGTCAGCAGAATCGAGCGCTAGGGCGAGACTGACTCGACAAGGTCGCGGGCGGCCTCTTATCTAGAGTGCGCCGCTATCTCGAAGATTCGGCGAAAGCGGTTCGAGCGTCGCGTGATCGGGGCGAGAATGAACACGCACTTTCTAGAAAACAAAAGCAGGGACAAATGATAGAAGTTACGTGCGGTACATGAATAAACGGGAACTTTCTGGAGGACCGTGACCGAGCGTTGCTTTCTCAGCCTTGCGCGCGGCAATATTGTCAACGGCTTCTGGGTTATGTATTCGTATAAAAAGATGGACAAATTAAATAAAAAAATCAGAAACAAATGACAAGGTACTACGCTAAACAAAACATTGCGATTTTTTTTGTGGCGTTATACTTGTTTCAGAGGGCGCTGAAGTGTATTCCCTTGGATAACATTATATATGAAATCTAAGCATTATAAAAAAAAAAAAATTACATTCACTGACGGCCAATTCCTCTTTAAGGGGGGACATAAGCCAAAATGTCGAATTTGTTTGAAAAAATTCATTTCTTTAATACTAAGGTATTCGGTTTTCGAAATTAATTTACACCCTAACACTCTATTTCATAACCATACGCCAAATAGTTAGGTTCATATAAAATATTTTCAACAGATTGTGAGGCTCTAACAAAGTAAAGGAAATCAATGTTTGAATACATTTTCTCAGTTCCACTTTTCGCTGCAGATTTTATACGAAGGAATCTTTTGCTCGCAGGTAAAGGAACTCTGATACCCCCAAGATATTTCTGAACCGAATTTTTAGAGCGCAGCTCTTAGGGGTCCGTTTCCAGCCTGAGCGGCGTCGGCGTCGCCGTTGGCGTAACCGCGCCCCTCCCTCTCCTCCTCCTCCCCCTCCTCCTCTTCCCCCTCCTCCTCCACTCCTCCTCCTCCTCCCCCTCCTTCTCCTCCTCCTCCCCTCAATGTGTAGTATGGTCCGGGCGGGTCACGTGACCTCGGGGGGAGGGGGTCACATGACCCGTTTCCAGCCTGTGCGGCGTCGGCGTCGGCGTCGCCCCTCCCCCTCCTCCTCCTCCCCCTCCTCCTCCTCCTCCGCTCCTCCTCCTCCCCCGCCCAGTAAAGGTGGTAAAGGAGAGGGAGGGGGAGCAGGAGGGGAGGAGGACTAGCAGGCATGATCACGAGGGAGGAGGAGGAATATACCCTTCCCTCCTCCTCCTCAAGAGCTGCGCTCCAATTCGGCGTTACAGGAAGTTGTAAACGGCTTTCACTTTTTTTGGATATCCGGCTACCTGCTTTATCTTGTTTTAAGTTGAAGTCCTCATGGATAAATAACTATGTTTTCGAAAACTGACATAGGACAGATATAAAGCTCTTATATTGAGGTAGTAACTCTTCCTGAAATGTTTAAATTTTAGTTATAAAATCTAAAGAGCCCGAGCTCCCACGTCCTCCACCATTCAAGCAGTCAAAATAATCCTTAATAGCTTCATTTACATATCACAGATTTCTTAATGAAACGTGACAGCTTTTTTTTTTTTGCAGGTATGTAAAGTTGTCTTAGAGAGCTGAAAGTTTGCGAAGTACACCTTCATCTGACGTTAAATCTCTTCTGCAAATTTTATTCTGATCACTTGAGTAGTTCAGAAGTTTAATCTCTAGGCCTTATCCCCCCTGAAGGAATCTGCTCAAAGACCTGACACGCCCTCCTTTCTGTGCTTTGGAGCAGGCACCAAGGGGCGCCGTAGGACGGCGTTTTCAAACAATTGCTGCATTGCGTTTACGCCCAAGCGTTCGACGATTGTGCAAACTATAACGCACAACGCGCCTAAAAGGAGTAGTTATAGGAACGTCTTTAATTTCCTTGGTCACAATTTACGGAGGTAATGAAATTCTAAGCATACCCCCCTCTCCCCTCCCCGCCGATGGGGGAATAATTAATGTGCATTTATAATGCTGTCAGTTTACTGACACGCCTTTCCATCTCGAACCTGGCTATTTTTTTTTTACTAAAGCCCAAAAGACAATATGGCATCCAAAACAAGCTTTTATAAAAAGCACTTCTTGGTCCTTTTAAGAACGGGTAAAAGCTTTTTTTTTTAATTCTTATGTAAAGTTTTCATATTCTTATTATTATTTTGGAACAGGAACTTAGAAGAGTAACATTTTCCCTTGCTCAAATTTAACACCGGAAACGTTCGCCTAGAGTAGTTACAAAATTTGAGGTTCTTTCAAAGAAGCTTTTTCTTACTTTTGTGACTTTGAGAATTGAGGATGTTTTCTGCCAACTCAACCATTCGAAAATCACCGGAAGAAAAACTACTTACGGATTATTTTTTACGCATTTCCTAGGATAGGTGCAGGAAAAGCACTTTACGCTAAGAAATTCGAAGAAGATCGTTCGGACTGCTTTAGATGTATCGCTGTTATCATTCGAGAGGCAATTGTAGAACTGGCGGTCATCCTCGCAGTTGGTCCTGATAGAAAAAAGGAGACACATAAAGCAATGTTCATGTTTATATTGTATCTTGTTGTGATAGATGCCGTAGTATATAAATACACTCTACAAGAGAGGAGATATGTTCTGGCTGAGCTCATGATAACTACAAGAAGCTGTAACTTCCTATACACATGCTGCTCATGGAGAATTGTCTAATTAGTGTTATCAATTAAGAAGCAGCATCTGTAACCTTATTTTGATGACGCGCTTTTGAAAGTTAAACGTCTTGATCAACAAATACAGAAGCAAGAATTCGCGACAGAAAATTCGAAGCAAGACTGCATCAACAGCTGGTTAACAAAAATAATATAAGTATCAAAACAAGAGGCCATTCTCGGGCATCGCTCCCTTACATCGTGTAGAAGTTATTATTGGTGATGCCGTGCTTGGTTTGCAGTGCCGGGATGTTATCGGTCGATATGTCGTGTGTGCGGCAGCACATGTCAGTCCCCTTGTGCACTCCTAAATCGGAGTAGTTTTTAGCCACATCACCTGCTCCGCACCACTTGGTCCCTGAAATCGACGATGCAGGCGATCTTTTATAATTGTTTTCTAGGAGGGCCTCGCCATCTTGAATCGCGAAAGTTCAGAAATAGAGAAAAACATATATTTATTCTCTTTGCAAAACTGGAAAGTGCTCAAGTTTTAATAAAAAAAAATTAATAATAATGGTGATTTTGTTCCAACGCGCCTTCTTCCGTTTCCTCTTTTATATTTTTTTCCACTCGTTTCAGGTTGTAAGGCCGTATACTTTGATATGTCAACGGACGACGGCAAACGAAAAAGGTGTATTCGTTCGCGTAATTACTCTGACTCCGGATATGTTTTATTCCTTGCTGTCTTGTAGTTTGCGTGCGGAAGCGTGGCGACAATATTGTTTGAAAAATATTCATAAAAGAAATGAGTCGTAAGAAGGACGATAAAATGTATTTCCCTATGGCGGGAACATTTGTATACTGTCATGCAGGGAAGGGGAGACTAAAGCTGCGGTCACACTGCGGTTACATCATGTAAACTACGGTATGCAGACACTGTATAGGGCGTGTTTCTTCCTTTATCGGGTGATCGCGTCACACTGGTGGAACAAAGACGATCTTTACACATGTTCGAAGCGTAAACATCTTTTTTTTCTGTTGTACATGTAAACATTTCACATTAAAAGCTTAAAAAAAAATGAAAGCCGTTTACAATTCCCTGTAACGCCGGTTAGAGCGCAGTTCTTGAGAAGGAGGATGGAAGCGTACTGAGAGATAGGTGACTCCTTGAGGTCACGTGACCTCAGGGGGGTCGTGTGACGTCAGGGGGTTGTTACCTCAGGGGCCACGTGACCTCAGGGGCCACGTGACCTCAGGGGGTTTGGTCACGTGACCTCGCCGTTACGCCAACGGCGACACCCACGCCGACGGCGACGCCGCTCAAGCCGGAAACGGGCCCCTAAGAGCTGCGCTCTAAAACAGTTAACTGGATTGTCGTTTTTAGCCATGGCGCAAGGTTGTCTGACAATAAATGTATCTCACTAAGAGTTCTACGCACGCGTGATGCCGCCAGAACGGTACCTTACAAAAAGCGTCCGTGCACGAGATAGCTCGTCCCATCTCATGCTATAATTCCGAGAATGCATGGCGACCCCGGTAGCGAAGACGAACTAGCTCGTGCAATCGGCCGAGATTCCCTCATTACACCAGCACTTCAAACGTACAGTAAAATATTTCTGTATAGAGAGTATACCGTTTTCGCTTTCTCGCTCCGCTCTACGGAGAGCGGAGTCTTCAGTGCGCATGCCCAGTCCGTTCTGGGATTGAGCGTAGTTATGGGAGTGAGCGTCAGGTCCACGTTCTAGGGCGTAAAGCGGGTTTTAGCACAGATGGTATTTTCATGGTACGGTATTTGAAACGGGAGTTCATGCTGCCTCTTTGAAACCAGATTATAAGCGCGCGTCCGGGTAGATCGGATCTTCAAAACCGAGCAACATCACTCCACCAAGATGACTTCCCACACTTCGCTTTAAACAATGAATTCATCATCCTGAAAGCTCTGCAACCAGCTGTAGGATCTTTACCTGCTTCGGTAGATTTTGAGCCGAAGTTCTTTTTTGTCACCGGAATGATGGGCAGATGTTCTGAAGTATCTTGTATCAGCCAGTTGGCGTAAATCTACTATACTCCGTTCACTTTTAAATAGAAACTGAAGCAGGTCAGTGTTTGGGTGAAAACCCTTAAATCCTCTTTATTTGGCCTCCAGGACTACAAATGCCCAGAATGTTTTTGTTTTATTTTTTGTTTTCAATTTGGTGCACGCAGGCTCCAGGAAATCATTTCCAAAGTACCACTGAGGCCCCTCCTCCCGAAGCGTTACGTCAAAAAAGGAATTCGCGCACCTTCAGCACCTATCAACTCTACGCACGCGCAGTTTGGCTATTTTCAGAAAACTCAGAAAAGGACATCAGGAAGCTGTCAGTCCGGTGGAATATACCTGGCACGCTTGTAATTGCACGCGCTTGGCGGCCGATGTATCATTTTATGATGTAACGATTGGTAAAGAGTTTTTCGAGTTTTCTCGCGTTTAGATCACTGTTTAAGATATATAGTCTTTTGGTGAGGGCACAGACGTGAGTAACAATGAGACGCGATGGAGTAGATAAAGTCCTCTCATGAGCGCAGGCGCGCGCTCAACAACCCGCGGTGAACTAGTGTCGCTTGCTGGCAAAACGACGCAAGTGTGAAAACAAAAGAAAAAAATAAAGCCGCTTACAACTCCCTGTAACGCCGGATTAAAGCGCAGCTCTTGAGGAGGGGGATGGAAGGGTACTGTGGGACAGGTGACTCCCTGAGGTCACGTGACCTCAGGGTGGGGGGGGGGGGGGAGGGGGGTGACGTGAGGGTAATTCTCACAACCCTCGTGACCCTCGTGACCCTCGTGACCCTCATGAGAGTAAACCTCGAGACGCTTGTGAGGGTAACCCTTTTGAGGGTAACTAACCCTCGCAACCCTCGTGAGGGTAATGCGCGTGACCCTCGTGAGGGTAACCCTCGTGATCCTTTTGAGGGTAACCCTCGTAACCCTCGTGAGAGTAACCCTTGTAAACCTCACGAGGGTAACCCTCGTGACGTCATTATGGGAAACTTTTCATAATGCAACGCACGGTTACGCCGGCGCCGACGCCGACACTGCTGAAGCCGGAAACGGTCGACTAAAAGCTGCGCTCTAAAAGAAAAATCTCGTTGCCATGGCATTAGACGAGCACGAGCTCCATGCTCAAGGATGTGCGACGGCTGCACGAGGTATGCCATGGCAACGATATATTTTATTCATGTTTTTCTCACAGTTGCGTCGTTCCGCCAGCGAGTGACGCTAGTTCACAGCGGGCTGTTAGACGCGCATGCGCTTGTGAGAGGACTGTATCTGGTCACTCCCGGTCGAGCAGAGTCCTCACCTAAAGAGTTGTGGCCGAAATATCGACCGCCTGTCAATATTACCAAATTGACTGCAAAAAAGCGGAAATGTTGTGTTCGCACAGTGTCCCGTAGTGTACCTGTATGCTTTCATTTCGTTGTTTTCAATCTACGAAAGCTCTCTGGTCGAGTTTTAGCAGATCGCACGCCGCGAAAAGAATCAAGCTCAGTAAACGCGTGCTCAAACATTGCTTCAAAGTGACAGCATGACCTTCCTTTAGCAAAGCGAAGCTATCGCGTAATTCCTAATCAAAGTTCCTATTATGGCGATCCTAAACCAGCAACTGTGTAAGAGTGATTTCATCCTGGAACGTCACCAGACCTATAAAAAGCTCTCCTAGACTCTCCCCTAGACGTTTATACTTTGGCGGGTATTCATAATTCTATTTACTGAGAAACATAACTCCACCATTCTTGTATGCTACAACCAGTTTTAAACAAGATACTCGACGAAAATGATTTATGTCACCAAATACGATCATAAAGTATTTGGAGTAGTGTCCAAAAGGTTCGCAATCTAATTAAAAAAATAATGTTTGCCTGTAAGACGCTTTTCCTACAAAATATCTTGAGTAACGTACAAATATCTTGAAATATAATTAAATTACTTTCGAAGATACTTTCGCATTGCGCAATTAGCATCGAGTTCAGCGGCAGTAAATTTTTTTTATTTGCAAGCAACCGAATCAAACAAAACAAAATCGCAGTGCTATTTTATGCATTTCAGCCCCAGTACAAGGTGAATGTGGTGAATGTTATAAGAGAATAATTTGGGGACCAATGAGCAAAAAAAAAAAAAAAAGTCACTCTATATTCGCATTTCCGAAAATTACATATTTTGATGGATTTATATTGCGCACCTTGGAAGCAACGCACCGTTTTACTAAATTCCGTAGTCGCTAAGTCCGGAGTTCACAGTAAACATTTTTTTATATTCAACAAAATGACTGATAATGAGCGCTCATATATAGTAAGCATGGGACTTGACACTCCTTATTTAAGTAGGTACCACAAACGTTGCATTTAGAGATGACTAAACTTGGAAAAGAAAAGCACACGGTGACCCGAAGAAGTACTGCAGTCTTTCTCGCAATTGTCGGTTTATTTATACTGTTTCCCATTCTAGACTAAAAGCCCGTTCAAAAAGAAATGCAAATTTGGGAGACCTCTGCATTTTGAGAGCTCATAGTCCTCCTAGCTTGTTTCCTGCCTTGTTGAAATCTGTATTCAAAAAACGGTTGGGCTACCAGATTTCTTGTCCTGGCTGGTTTAACCTTGGAAGAGAAAAGCATCACCTTGGGTCTTTTTCTGCTGCCTACTCCTCATTTCCTTCTATTTGTTCTTTTTTGGCATTTTGAGTCTGCATCTTTGGTCCTGGGTTGTTTCCTGTTCTATGTTCGGTCGTCTCCGCTTTAAGCTTGCAATTGGTTGAACTTCGGGCTAGAGTATGCCGCCTACTATTTCCGTAGAATATTACCGGGGCACATTGTCAAAATGTATATAAGATAATGACTATGACATATAAATAAATGTGATGTAATCTCTTCAGTAGAGTGTTTGAGACAGCACAAGTTGGGCCTGCAGCATACCCTAATCTTAATTATTATTTTTCTTATTCATCTCTATTTGCTGTCAATGTTTCCTTTTTTGACAGATCAACTTCGCATTACCTTCATTAAACATATTCTCTCTCTCTCTCTCTCGCCAGTCTTAGCTGTACGGGATTGTGTGAGAAACAGGAGGGTCTTAGTGTTCGGTTATTGTGTCAGTTTTTACCCATAACTGTGATAATCTAAATGTGATACCATGTTGATAAAGTGTGGTCTCTGTCTTTTGTAATTTAGCATATTTAGTATGCATTCAACTTCGTGAATTCAACTTTGCGCCGCCGAAATATGATTATATATAAAAAAAACACGCGACTCTGACGTCACTTAGCTCCGGTGGCGCTGTTGTCAATGTGGCGCATGCGTGAACGTATACCTTCACAGAAATTTGGCTCCTACGCACCCGCAGCGCCCACAAATACGGACTTGTTTCTACACAGCGTGTCAGCATATCGTCCGCCATATGAAATAGCTTTGACGGTGTGAAAATAATATGTTAAACGCTCCCTGTCATCTATCTTAACCACAAACCACAAATAGCACTTGACACGCCTCAGGCGCCGCGCGCAGTGCCCATACTTGGTGTGGTAGAACGCGGGCTTGTTTGTCAACAGTATGCTGGTCTATATAATGTAGGCCTCGTTTAGGAATTCATAAATGTTGAACCGTGTCTTCGAAGCACCCTAAGTTATGCAGAGCACAGTGAAACGTATTACCTTTCCTATTTATTTTTAAACTTTTGTTTTCTCATTCAGATATTAAAATGTAAAATACTGACAAGGTTTTAAATCCTGAGCTTGCAAAACTGTGTTTTGATGGCCCCAGCAGAACATTTTGTCGCAGTGTCAGGATTTTTACAAGAGCCGCTAACGAGTCAGCTGATCTTGGAGATGGGATCGTGAGAACAAAATTCCGCAGCGCTTTATTCCAGGAAAGGTTTATGATAACGGAATCTAAATGAAGTAACAGAAACGCAGCATAAGCCAAAGACGTCGCGAAAAATTATGATGAAAACTTAATAACGAGGTCTTTTTTTTACAATTTACGTAGTGGCTACACTTACCGGGAAATATGAAGAGGCGCTGTAATTTCTCGGCTATTCTTTCGAAGAGGGATTCCAAGCTGCCTTTATCTCTCTTGGACTTAATGCTATCACACAGGTTTAGATAATACTGCACTCCTTCCTTGGTCGTTTTTTCAATAATGTCTTTGTTAATATATTGCATAATCTCCTCAATGAGAGCCCTAAAAAGAACAGTCATAAATTTAAAAAAAAATTCTCGAATTTTTTTAAGTCAAAATATATTTTCGTAGAAATGGACATTAGTAGAATACAAAAATATATTTAGGGAGGGCCCAAAGGCCTTAGGAAAAACGAACAATCCCTTCACAAATACAGCGAGGAAGTAAAATTAATTCGAACAGTAATGCATAAATTGCAAACATTATTTGGGTGTTTATACATTGTAATTTATAACAACGATGTGGTTAGACAGTGCGTTTTTAATGCGAAATTTTAACCGCCCCATGGAGCAAGGCCGACGTCATCAGTTTGAAGCGCACCAAACGGCACCCTAAATCCTTTCTCCAAGTGAAGCCAGCTCCCAGCTATGAAACCACGCGAAAGCCTAGACAACGGCACCAAGTTTCTCCGATCCCAAAGGCGCAGAGCGAAGCTGATGGATTTCGCCTTCGGTTCCATTGGCTGGCCGCTGCGCGCGTCCGTTTAAACGACTGCCGCCCCATGGCGCTGCGTGTCCGTTCCGCGAGCGTGCGTGTAAAGGCCTGTTCACACTCTTGTGACCGAGTACGACCGAGAGAGACCAGACCGGTTTTTAAGCCTTTTGCGACTTCTTAGGACCGGATGCGCGGCATCGGAGCTGGTCCTAAGAGATCGCAAGAAGCTTAAAAACCGGTCTGGTTTCTCTCGGTCTTACTCGGTCGCAAGAGTGTGAACGGGCCTTAACAGGAAGCGTCCAAAGTCAGAGCTGCGAGGAGTGCTTGGGTAGGGCTCGCAGGCTGACGCAAATACGCCGCAAACGAAACACGGGAGCGAAAGAACGGCACGGATGCTTTCGCATTCACAACTCATAAGAAGTGCTTATGTGTACCTCGAGCTTTTGTATGTGGAAGGGAAAACTTGCTTCCATCAAAAGTGAGAAATTTATACGGCAATGTTTCTATGAATAGATATAAACATTATTCCATTTCACGCCAGCTTAAAAAAAAACCCATAAAACTTCGCTGATTCAGTGGCTCAGTAGAGTTAAAAGGTAACTTGCACAAAGTAAGAATTACTTTTCTTACCAGTATTTTAGCATACAAAACTGAGTTCCCTATTCTTTTGAAGTGGGTAATATTAATTTGAGAAGTACTAGTTCGGAATTTGTTGGGATCATCTATCACCACGCTTAAAAAAAACAGGCCGGCCTTATCAAGAGTTCGCGACTCTAGTTGTAATTCAACTTAATATTTTATCGTCATCAAACTTGGATGCTTATTGCAATTTTATTAAATCTGAAAGTATTGCCTCAACAGATTAGTATAGCAAATGCTCAGGTTATGGTTTTGGTTCGAATTTAGGAGGGTTTGATGTTAAAACCACAACTCGAAGTATATTTCTAAGCTGTGTAATAGCCTGGCTTGCCTAAACTAAACGATATGGCGTAGTTGATGAGTAAAGTTCACAAAGGAGAAGCATAAATTCTTGAATGAATTTTTATTTTTATAAAACGTATTTACTTTATTCGTCCTCACCTCAAGAACTGCCGTAAAACACTTCAGCTTTCGTGAAGCTTTAGTACGTTTCCCCTTAATGCAGTGATTAAGACGCTTGATAGTATATTTAAGAATAGTCATTCGTTGTTTAATTAAAGTGCATGTTGTGGTCGAGATAAGATTGATTGAACTGCGTAGGTTGATTCTAGCATAGCAATACAGGTACGTGTGAAATCAACGTCGAGCCCGCACTACCCGCAGAGCAACGGGGACGCCGAGAGGACAGTCCAAACGGCTAAGCAACTCCTTGGAAAATCGACAGACATCCACAAGGCACTGTTGGCCCAGTGTGCAACCCCGGGAATCCAAGGTTACGCGCCAGCGGAGTTATTCATGGGACGAAGACTGCGCACAAACGTGCCAGTAAAACCAGAATCTCTCCAACCTCGATAGGACAGCACAGACTTTCGCCCCAGAAACGCGTTATACAAGAAAAAGATGCGCCAGCACAATGACGAGCGCCGCAGAACACGTGAGCTCGACACCCTTCCACCTGGAACTGCGGTCAGAATTCTGACGGGAGCAGCGTCTTATGGCCACATTTTAGGGCCAGCGCCTCAACCCCGTTCCTACGTGGTGCAGACGACGTCCGGCACTACACGGCGAACAAGAGGACACCTGCAACCGGCCGTGGCACCTACCGTGACAAGGAGTGGACGTATAACTCGCCCACCTGACCGCTTTGGGGAAGTGTGAGTGTTTAGGGGTTAAAAGCGCTAAAAAGGATGGACGAGTAGGAGACACACACACCACAGAGCGCTTTTTATTATTGGAAAAACCAGACGTACCGCGAAACCAACAAGACACACATCTGATTCAGTTCCAACCGTCGCTAATCACATTTTTTCGTCCGTCGTTTTTAGCGCTTTTAACCCCTAAACATGTTCAACCAACTAGCCCAAATCCAAACCCTTCTGCAAAGCGCTCTGTGGTGTGTGTCTCTCCTACTCGTCCGTCCTATTTAGCGCTTTTAACCCCTAAACATGTTCAACCAACTAGCCCAAATCCAAACCCTTCTGCAAAGCGCTCTGTGGTGTGTGTCTCTCCTACTCGTCCGTCCTATTTAGCGCTTTTAACCCCTAAACATGTTCAACCAACTAGCCCAAATCCAAACCCTTCTGCAAAGCGCTCTGTGGTGTGTGTCTCTCCTACTCGTCCGTCCTATTTAGCGCTTTTAACCCCTAAACATGTTCAACCAACTAGCCCAAATCCAAACCCTTCTGCAAAGCGCTCTGTGGTGTGTGTCTCTCCTACTCGTCCGTCCTATTTAGCGCTTTTAACCCCTAAACATGTTCAACCAACTAGCCCAAATCCAAACCCTTCTGCAAAGCGCTCTGTGGTGTGTGTCTCTCCTACTCGTCCGTCCTATTTAGCGCTTTTAACCCCTAAACATGTTCAACCAACTAGCCCAAATCCAAACCCTTCTGCAAAGCGCTCTGTGGTGTGTGTCTCTCCTACTCGTCCGTCCTATTTAGCGCTTTTAACCCCTAAACATGTTCAACCAACTAGCCCAAATCCAAACCCTTCTGCAAAGCGCTCTGTGGTGTGTGTCTCTCCTACTCGTCCGTCCTATTTAGCGCTTTTAACCCCTAAACATGTTCAACCAACTAGCCCAAATCCAAACCCTTCTGCAAAGCGCTTTGTGGTGTGTGTCTCTCCTACTCGTCCGTCCTATTTAGCGCTTTTAACCCCTAAACATGTTCAACCAACTAGCCCAAATCCAAACCCTTCTGCAAAGCGCTCTGTGGTGTGTGTCTCTCCTACTCGTCCGTCCTATTTAGCGCTTTTAACCCCTAAACATGTTCAACCAACTAGCCCAAATCCAAACCCTTCTGCAAAGCGCTCTGTGGTGTGTCTCTCCTACTCGTCCGTCCTATTTAGCGCTTTTAACCCCTAAACATGTTCAACCAACTAGCCCAAGTCCAAACCTTTCTGCAAGTGTGAGTGTTGTTCTTCCAAAGTGGGGGGAGGCGTCGGGATATCATCATCATCGCCACCGCCGTCATCAGCATCGCCACAGCCACCGGGTGACCCTGGACTCTGCCCGCCGCTTCCGCGCGCGGACCCTCTCTCCACCGGATCGCGACCATGCAGACAAGGCACGACTCACACGTGCCTGTATTGCTATGCTAGAATAAACCTACGCAGTTCAATCAATCTTATCTCGACCACGACAGTGCACACGTTTCAAGCTAAATAAATATAATCGTTTTGTTTTCTCTGGCATCCGAAACTTGCAAGTACCACTTAACGCAGCATATGAACTGCTCGCATAAATTGCTTGATTTTAATTAAGGTAACAAAAAAATATATAACGAAATTTGGTGTACAACGATATCTTACTAGCCTCAAGTTTTCTGAGCCTTTTTTTTTTTAATATAATTATATCACGACCTCAGTTCGATTACAAAATATATGACATGCAGTGATGGGGAGTTGCGTGAAATGCTTACCTATCACCGATGATATTGCAATAGCATGCAGTTGCTTTTTCTTCTGTTTTGTCCAGAAACGCCTCAACCATCCTGTGACCGCCGTCGGTGATATCAGTTACGACTACGCGTCGAACGCTTGGGCAGGTCCTGTGAACAGTGAAAAGCAACAAACGATGAGAACCACGGTCTGAGTATTGTAGAGCCTCTAAATCCCCTACGCTTCGCAGCATGGCAACGTCAACCATCTTGGTGCTCATACCTAAGCAGAAATAATAGTTGAAATTTATCTTAAGCTCTGCCAGCATTCGCAGGAAATGATTTTCCATCTTCGACGACAAATAAAACAGCCCACGACAAGAAAAAAAGAAACGATATCACCTGACTTTTCTGACACGGTATGTGGAAGTAGCAGGCTCGGACCGTAACGACCGCCAATAGACCTTATTCATATTTGTGGCGCAATCTATCATACTTCAATCTTCCTCAAAGATGGTGCCGCAACATCCTTGGTTCGAAACGCTATGGGATGTCACTCGGAATATGATGCATCAAGATCGCAGTGACGCATCAGCTTACTAAGAGTGTTCCTGGTCAATCCGAGTGCCTCTGATTCACCACTCGCATACGCATTCCGAATTCACCGATATGCACAACTCCGTGCAAAAAAAAAATCCTCTCCTTTGGGATTTTTTTTTCTTGGCACAAAATGTTTTTCTATGTCGCGAGGCCCAGCCGAACACCAGCGCCCTGCACGGTATAATCGTAAAGCTGAGAGTTTTTTTTTTTTTTTTTTTTTATGAACTACTAAACTTGTCGAAATTGTCTTTTTAGCTCCTTTTTTGTTTATTAATACGTTTCACAAGTTTGGAACTGCTTTCAGCATACACCTAATTATTGGATACTGTGATCGTTTCGATACCTTGTAAAAAATGGCAGCATGCGAGAAATTCTTTCTAAGCAAATGTTTTTGCGATTTTTGAATTCCTCGTCCAGAATTGGGTCGAAACGGAGACTAAGAGGCCGACATTTTTTCGGCTTGCAGCCCGGCGTTATCGACAACGTGCTGAAAGGCGGCGCCAAAATCGCGTAAGATATATTCTATCGGCTTTGCACTAGGCACCAAAATGGCCGCGCTTACAAGGACATCGGGGTATAGAGGGTACTTTAGCTGTACCTAACTCTGTGGCTCTAAAGTGACCTGCTTAAAGGAATTCCATGTGCATTTATTTCACAATAACTATGGCATCCTTACACTTTTCTTTTGGTTTGTCCCGTGCTTGTTTTTACGTGTTAGTACTAACTTCCATTTAGAGCAATTATAGCATAGGTGATTGGTTTTGTTAATTTTCACAAAGTACAAGTATTAAAAAGTGTGTTCAGAGCTCTGCCATGACCACCCCCCCCCCCTCCCCCCCCCCCCAATACTCCCTTTTTTTCCTCTTATATGTAACAGATTTCTGTATATATTTCTGAGTGGAATAAAATTGAACTTCAACTTTCAACAGAACGACACCGCCATGAAAGATGACATACAAATAATTCTGATTCGAACAGATTTTCTTTTCAAGGATGTGAGATTTAGATGAGCGTATTCATTCACCGTGTATTTATCCGGCCCGTCGGACATTAGATGAAGAAAAAATCGTCACTTTAAGTTGACTAATTAACTAAACTATGTGTGTTGCCATTTCGAACACTGAATTTAGAATTATATTGCAATTGCAGTGTTTACAGGAATCACAACTGAGACTAGATTTTAAAAAATTCCAAGAAGAAAATGGTAGAATAGAAAACAATAATCGGTCAATTTTCGCTTCTTTTACCGGATTTCGAAATTCCTGATAAAAAAATGTGGCGCAAGCCCTGCCATAAATGACGCTTAGAACGCTGACGCAGTTTCAGTCGCGTCGCAACTTGTGTCCTCTCCGCGCTCACCAAAGTCCAGCGTTACTAGATGAGGTCAGTTGTTAAACATCCTTTGAGGGGGTATCCCGCCCCGCCCTTACTCATCTCTGTCCACCTCCCGTAGGGTGTCTCGATGCTTGAGCCACTTCCAGGATAAAACACCCCTTGACCCCACATTTGGGTCACTGATGTGGCGGGGCTGCATCGTGTCCTACTTCTTCGCAGTGTGTGGATGTAAATCGTGTGCTGTAAAGTTGTGTTTTTAGCGTGTCCCGAGCTACCTTGGCTCAAGACAGTGCCGAAACGAACAGCTGAAAATCTGATCCAATTTGGCGGATATCCCCACCCCGTGTTGTTTGAAGCGCCGTCTAGATTGTCACTGCGAAACTATGCATTCCATTAATTACGGTGAAAATCCATCTAGACTCTCTACTTCAAAACATATGCATTTGTAGGGTACACTGAAGTTACCATAGCAGCCATCCTTTCAAACGGTGGCGCGCCGAACGACGAGAAGCCAGCTCTGCGAAAGCCGAGCCGTGGGGAAGAAGCGGGGGGGGGGGGGGGGGGGGGGGGGGGGGGGGGGGAGGAGGAGGGTAGCTACCTATGCACGCAGCGTCTATGGGCATTCCTTTAACTGAGTTAATCGAGTAACGTTTTCAAAGACACGCTGTCGAGATAGTCACGGCGTGATTGGACGCCAACGTCACTCCTCTAAACGTCATTGTGGGTCTAGTCAAGGGGTGCTTTTTCCGCGAACATTTTTTTTTTCGATTGTGCGAGTACACAAGTAAATTTATTCCTGAATTTCTAAAAAAGATGCTTACCCTACCCAAAATCCTTAAAGTGATTTGGCCTTTGATAGTAAACGCCGTCAGTGCTGCAATTCGCAACATAACCCCTGAACTAATAATTAAAAAGATAATTAACATACGTTAGCTAATTAGCCAGCCTATATTGACCATTATCTCCTGTTTGAGTGTGCACCGAGAGTGATAAATGCAAGGTGAAGGCGGTACTCTAACTCTTACACCCTTAAAGAAAAATACGTTCGTCAAGCGCCCTGTGCATTTCCTACCAAGGCTTTACAAGAGTATAGCTCATGTCGTCACCGTATTTGAAGCCTATTTAAGCATACATTGCCTACCAAAGACGCGTTTGCTTATTTCAACCATGTCCATGAACGAATTTGTTTATAACATGTAATGTAAAGAAATAATGTAAAAACACCATGTGTAAAGACACCGTGTGTAACGACACCATGTGTAAAAACACCATGTAATGTAAAGAAATAATGTAAAAACACCATGTGTGCGACGTATTACGGCATTAACTTACGCAGCCGTTAGAATTAGCGCGTGAGGCACGCATGGTAGCGTCTTTCCAAAGTAAACCGAGGAGGGCGAGAAACACTCGTTCTCCTCCGAATCATACCTGCCAGAATGTGTCTGCTGTTGTGTGCAGCACTTTGTTCAATGCTTTCAAATGCCTCTGCATATACAACACCACACCATACATTTAAAGCATGGTCTGTGGACTTTTGTCAAATAATTTATAAAATGAGAAGCATGATTAGAATTGTGCCTAAGTGGTCATACAGCTGTGACGGCTTTAAGATGAGCTAGTTGGTTCATTGCATGTTTATGCTGTAACTGAACATGAAGGAAGAACACAGAGGGACAAACGGAAAACACATTTCTGGCATTTACCGTGTATGATTTCAAGTATTTTTCATTCGTGTTCAGCTGGTACCATAAGGAAGTCACACATCCACAATGGCCAAGATGGCGTCTGGCAAATACATCAAAAACCAATCGAACTCCTTCATAAAGAACTGATTAAAGAAAGCCCAGTGACTGATGAAATATTTGATTTTACTTTCAATTTAATTGTACGATTATCAAAATGGCCTAAATAATTTGTGTGCTCAAATGTTAAAGCATCTTATTGAAAACACAAATTATATAGACCTTTCAGGGGTGCCAAAATGGGGAATGAACCATACAGCGCACTGAAGATAAAACTGCAATGAGGCATCTAATACGAACCTATTCAATGTCAATCCACTGCATCTACTAGTAAGTTAGGATTCAGTAATAAAAAGTAATAGTTTTTTCTTTAAAAAATTAATATCATTCTCACTGATAATTTTTTTGCGATTTGCAGTGAAGAAGTTTCAGTATCATTTGCATCAAAAGTTGAAGTGATCACTCTAGCCTTGATGGTCCTGAGATAACCTCCACTGTCAACATACATTTCATTTAACTGTATGGCAATATCACCGGATGAGGTATTCGTCAGGTTTCCAAACCTTTTGTCTGACGCTTTGGCGCCATTTTTGATTGGGCTCAGTCTCGATGCCGTAGAGCTGAGGGAACCCAAGGAGACCGAAGCGTTCGAAGCCCCTTCATGTCCGAGAGTCCGTGTAATTGCGCAGACAATAAGGCACGCCAAAACGCGCGTCTTCATGATGATGAAGAAGTCCTGCGGAGTCGGTCATAAACCTGTTTGAACGCAGGAAACTATGAAAAAATAGTAATTTCTAAACTGCTTACCAAGGGCTTCGCAATCACCTTTAGTATTAAAGAATGGCAAGTCTTGGTAGTCAAGGCTGGTAGAAATACTATAAAAAAGCTAACTGGAAGTATAAGTTCTGAGCCTCAAAGACTATTTTGTCTCTTTGCGAGATTAAATTGGCAGTGATGCGAGGTGACTGTTGGTCGCGGAAGAAACGCCCAGTGAGCAAAGGAAGACGTAGGACAAGATGAAAAAAAGCACACAGAACGAGGCTTTATACGTACCTGAATATTATTTTAAAAAAAAAGAACAAGAAAACCCAAGGCAGAAAATAGTGACACCTCGACGTGCCCTTAAACACTATAGACAAAACTCAGTCACCGTCGCGTGGCCCCTGCCATTTCAGAATGGCATCGCGCGGTCGCCACAACGTGGCCTCAACTCGTCCCTCTGATCTTCTCGGCGCGCCTTGAGCAAGGCGTTTTATTCGTGTTTTCCGTCGCGTTTCACGACGCTATTTTTCTTGGATCTGTAGAGTACCGTCCGATACACATCATTACTAAATAATTGCAATGTATCATTATGGTCACGACTTTTGCAGTTACTGTTGAAGCACGTTTTGACTATTTTCACAGACGGCGTAGCGCATTCGTGTGAGAAGTAAGGTGGCTCAGAATCAGCGTTAGCCCTGTGCACATTGAGCCCGAATGCTTCTGACAACTCAAGTCTGTTCAGTCATAGTCACAAGACATTCGAAATGACAAGCGTAATCTGCAGTGTGTTCTATAGGCTTTCTTTTTCGTTCTTTATAGATCTCTTTTTATAAAAAAAAAAGCCGTGAAAATTACCCTAAAGCGGTTAAATTAGGCGAGTCATGCGGCCAGGGGGTATAAAATAGGTGCCTTATCGTTCCTATAAGGTGGCTAGTTGTAGGTAAAATTGTTCATCAACGTCTTAATTAGTACAATTCGACATATGGTTTCAATTAAAAACTTGAAGAGTTATCTTAAACCACTAAATCAGTAATCTTTAACAAAGACGTAATGCACTTGGGAAGTATGGTGGACCGCTAAAGTTGCTACTCGTGCAGCAGGCGCAAGGCTACCGGTGAGATAACGCTCCCGAGCGGTTTTCCCATCACTTATCGTACGTGTTTTGTTACCGATACTATCGTGCCTGTTGCGCGAATAGTAACTTTAGCGCACTACTGCCCCCCCTCCCCCCCCCCCCCCCTCCCCCGAGCGCCAGAACTGTTTCTATTAGTGACTAAATTAAGGGTAAGCAATGACGCTGACCAAGCTGCTTATTTGAAGTATATGTTTATTTTTACTAAGAAAAATATAAAAAACTCAATTTTTTTATAACTCTTCTTATCGTGACTAATAGCTAGGGTTCCGTGTTTTTGGATATATCCGAAAAAAATCCGAAAAATACTTTCCGGTAACTTTTTTTTTCAGCTCGGATTTATCCGAAAAACTCCGAATTTCGGGTACACAACAAAATCAGCAGCAAAAAAGGCAGAGTTTTATATCTAAACTTTATAAGAGCATAATGTCAGTGATAATGAGGAGATTCCACTTCAGTTTTCTTTGAAATCTAGAACCACTGGCAAAAGTTCTTTGCCTTTTAGCACGTCGAGGTTCCTTCGAGACAACGGGTGATGGTACCCGAACCTTATTTATTTTCTTGTATCCTTTTTTTTTTAAGTTTACGTAGTAAAATAAACTATGAATTTAGATAATTGGTAATCTCACAAAAATAAACTCCGATAAACTCCGAATCCTCACTGAAAATATAAACTCCGAAAAACACCCTTTAATTTCACGAGAAATAAACTCCGAAATCACGATATCCTGCTTACAACCCAACAAACTGTATTATGTCCCCCTGCCCGTATAACTTATCTTTACTGAAAGTATTAGTGTAGCTTTTACGGGTGTTTAAGCAAATCAGTAAAGCCTAAAAAGCAACCTCTATATTCATGATTGTGCACTCAGGAAGATGACAAAGATGGTCAGCGAAGGGAACAACTACGCGTGCTTCCTCAAGGCATCGTCTTTGCCAACAAAAATATTTTAATTATATGGGAAACGCGTGGAGGTACGTAACGAACGTTTAACTTGTATTTTATCTGATTCTAGGAATAATGGCAACGTCAACATCAGGCAATGTGTTTCTTTATAATATTATACAAAAATATGGCATACGTTCTTAATCCTCTTTGCGTTCTAAACAATGGCTTGATCTGTTTATTAATGAATTTAAAAAGCAATCACAAAGTTCCAGCCATTCAAGAGTTTTAATGAATTTCTTAACATACACAAACCAATTAATGTATTTTAATGATTTCAACAAAACGATCCGGACTACGTTGATAAAAACAGTGTCATAGGCAGCTTGAGAGTGCTAAAGAGCCCGCGATACGTGACTCGAAAAGGAAGCCGCCTGCCTGGTAATCACTCGAGTGCAGCGTGCTCGATGTCGGAACGCCGATTTAGTTTTCGTGCCTACGCCGAAATGTACAAAACGCATAAATTTCAATAGAAACCTCTAGAGACATGTTCATAAAGTGGTGCTTAGAATTCGACTTCAGCCTAATCTGACAGATATCACTTATTTAGCCGTTTTCATCTGAAAAGTTTAAACAAGACTAATGGGAGACTTCAGGCTGAGACTCACACAGCACGCAATGCAGAGGAAAATGACATAGATTAAGCCGTCAGTCATGTTCGGGAGCAGTTTTATTCACACGGCGATCAGTCATGCCCGGCGCGAATACCCTTCCGCAGGTAAGCGGGAAATACCAACCACGTCAAGTGCATATGAGTAACCTTTAATTGAAATGTCTGCTGTCAGCACCAAGCTCCTAGGAATTTCCTTCTTTAATATCTCCCTACTACGACCTACCACGTTTCTGGCAAAGCAAAAAAAAAAAAAAAAATCATGCGTTTAAAAAAATTATTTTTTTTATTTAAGTTACTGCAGCTAGAAAATAGTGACCATTTCTAGTGATATTCTTACCATACGAGGTTTATTTACAAACACGTCTTATGCGTAAATAAATTGTGGATGAGATTTTTACGATATATTCAAAGAACAATATAATTAATAACTTTTTTATTGATTTAAGCCCCAACTTAATAAAAATAGCTTTATTTTACTTTATTTTTATATTCTGATTTCCTTGTTCTTAAGATATTGTTTAACTGGCAAACGATGTGCAAGGTAGAAAGAAATCCCAACACTCCGATTTGTTGAAACAACTGCCGTGCCGCTATCTCTTCTTCACTGGACGTTCGCCCGCACTTAAGGTTTTTTTTTTTTTTTTTTGTCAATACACAATACTTTTGGAAGTATTTGTGCAGGAAAGATTTCACTAAATTCGTCCCAACGAAACGGGCGTGACTTGAATCATAATATAATTCAACATTTAAGACACGTTGATGTTTTTATTCTCGACTCTATATTCTGGCCTGCCAACATTCAAGTATAGAGCTTATTCTTTAATTTCAATCTTTTGTTTTTTATCTTGGCCTTCAGTTACACGTCGGCGACCAACATCGTGGATAGTTTAATCAATATGTGTAACATAAAGTTTAAAATGTGGGAATTTTCTAAATGTTGCTTAAAAGTGGGCAAGAATCACTCTCAGTGAAGCAACAATTATAGATTGTCTCACATTTTACTTTAACGTTAGGTTGCACACATTGGTTAAAGGAGCGATGCAACAATTTTTTTACTTTGCGCAAATACCGCTTAAAACGGACCCCTAACGTTAATGACCTATGAAACACGCGTTCGTTCTTCACCCCACGCAATAGAAGTCCCAGAAACAAATTTAAGAAAAACGAGCAACGTTCACCCCCTCAACTCACAGCCAGAACAAGCGGCCACGTGATCTGGAGCCGATTATATGCCGCCAGTGTTGATCATAGCCACGCGCTGGGGTTGGCAAAGCGCAGGACACGCGCTGAGTTCCAGACATTGTTATGGCTCGGCTGTTGTCGTCCTTGCAGCAATTGGACACGGGTCACAACCCGAATGCTTCTCGAGCTAGCAATTATCACGAGCCCAAATCGAGTGCCCACGCAATGCTCGGGTCCAATCTATGAACCGCATTCAAATATCGTCACTTGGGTGTACTGCGATCCCCACGTTACGTCATCAAATTTTGCAAAGGAGAGATTGAATGAAAATGATCGCTTTGGTCCTTGAAATTACACGGCAACAAAGGAGTTTCTTGGCCAGTGGCGTTGCGTGTGGGTATCCTTGAGTCCCAGGTGTGCCAGCAAGCTCGTGCAGAGTGAAAAACATTCCAACTGAATATCGTTGCACCGGTCCTTTAAACCACCCAAGATCTTTGTGGCCGACGTGAAGCTAACCATCAGGATAAAAAAACTGGTACTCCGCGCTCCTTTTTATTTAGCGTTTGGATTTCGAGAACATTGAGAGAACTAGACAAAACTTGATTCATGTCCTTTTCAAGTAACAAGGAGCTTATATGAATTCTTTGATGTTTTCATTTATCGCGTTATTGTGATCTTTATGAGAAAAAATATTCTTCATGTTGATTAACGTTACAGCACACCAGAAAAGAAACACTCACAACCACAGACACACTAAAAAAATATACACTCATTCGTCGCTGACTCATGGTTTGCATTGTCTTCTATTCACAAAGAACAACCTCCGCTTTTTCTATGTTCTAAGAACGAGATGACGACATCTAATGGAATTACAAAATTAAACAAATAAATAATAAAAATATAAAAAAAGAAAAAAATATTTGTTTAATTAATAATAAAAAATAAAAAATAATAAACAATTCTTACTGCTAGTGACTAAGATACCTTTTGGTCAAATACACAAGCTCCCTCTGTGAGTGAGTTAAAGATGGCCTGCTGACACACTTGTTAATGTGTCTTTCGATATTTGCTGCCTCGATAATCTTC